AGGGAGAGGGAGAGGGAGAGGGAGAGGGAGAGGGAGAGGGAGAAGGGTCAGTTGAAATGGGACTGGAGCAGTGGCTTCGTTTTAAGAGCACTGGCTACTTCCCAAGAGGACCCTGGTTCAATTCTCAGAAGCCAAATAACAATTCACAGCTGTCTGTAACCCTAGTTCCAGAGGACTGATGCCCCCTTCTGGCCTCTTTGGTACGAGGCATGTGGGGCACAGACACACATGCAGGCAAACACCCATATACATAAAGCAAATAAAAGCTTAAATGTTTGAAAAAGCAATTGAAATAACAGTGGATTTTCCTCCAAGATTTCCAGTGATAGATTCACCTCTGTTGACTCCGATTTACCATGCAACAGAATGATTTCCCCATACCTGCTGAGTATAGCTAATGCCTTACGTTCCCTGAGATTCAAAGAAGAGGTCACTTCTGAGTCCTAGGCATTTGCTTTTTGTTTGCCTATTTTGTTTTGTTTTGAGACAGTCTTACACCTAGCTCAGGCTGGCCTCAAACCTGTGATCAGACTCCTGACTCAGACTCCTGAGTGCTGGGATTACAGATGTGAGCCACCACAGCTTGCTTGTGTTTGCTTCATTGTGGGTTTTCTTGCATTGACCTTTTTTTTTTTTTTCTTTTGGTTTTTCAAGACAGGATTTATTTGTGTAGCCTTGACTATCCTGGAACTCACTCTGTAAACCAGGCTGGCCTCCAACTCAGAGGTCCACCTGCCTCTGCCTCCTGAATGCTGGGCTTAAAGGCATGCGCCACCACTGCCTGGCTCCTGTATTGACTTCTATTGCCAATAAAAAAGTTCGTATCTCCTGACCATCTCTCAGTGGAGAGAACCTGAAGTGCACAGCCAGAGAAAATACTATCAGTTCCCAGAAAGAGAGATGAATTATATGGCATTTATTTGTCAAAAAAGACTCAGGAGAAAAGAGGATTATGGGAGATGTGGAGGTTTTGAAGCCAGAGAGATACAGAGCATGATTCTTCCGGGCCCTGTAATGTCAATGTCCACAAAGCAACCAGGAAGCAGAGTAGGCCTCTCCTCATTCTTTGCCCCTCCCTTCTTATCCCCTCTATTTTTTTTCATGTGTCTTTGTTAATAACAGAAAAATGTATCTTTGCTGCCATTATTCTTACAACTAGTAGAATACAAATTCCCCATAATGGAAGGTATTCACTCCAAACAACAACAACATCAAAACCAAATAACAAAAAAACCAGGAGAGACAAAGAAAAGCTGGATGGTTCAGAAGCTGTCTCCAAACAAGTTGGAGGCAAGCCTCTTACAAAGTTTATCCCACAGCTGTCTTGCCTGCAAAATGGTGTGCTCAACTTCCAGCAAGTACAGGACTTTGCATACTGAGAACTGCTCTCTCAACTATTGATTAGAAGGCAGATTTCCAAATTCTACTTTTCAAAAAAAAATCTATGTCTGTAGGTAGCAATTTGAAAAATATGGGAGAAGAGGCCCATGGAGAGAAAAAAGCATTAAGAATTTTTAGTGTTTGTCATACATCCACGCTTTGCTCTGTCGCAGTGTCGCCACAAAGAGGTGCCTGTGTGGGACCTCTAAGTCAACAAGGTGCCAGCCACTGCATACAAAGCACGCTCAATGACTTCATTAGTATACAGATGACACCTGAAGAGCAGGGAAAAATTGACCAAAGTCTTGCTAGAGCCATATATTCTCCTGGAACACCATTGTCAATAATGGAAAACACACAAGGCAGGAAGTTTTCAAATTACTAAACCCGTCATACCATTTGCCCAGCAGCATTCTTTGAGCTCGCCTTCCTTGGTGAGGGAATATCAATGGGAAACAGAAGAACTGGCTGAGCACTGGGTGCTGAGGTGTCAGAGAGGCAGGCAGATGGCTGTGGGGGGGTGACTCAGACTGTAAGATGGCACAGCCATCTCCTTTACACAAACAAGCCGAAGCACAGAACCAGGAGGAAAGCCTACACGGCAGAGTGCATCAGTTATAAAATATGTGCCATCCCATGGAGGACAGGAAGCAGTAAAGTGAGCTTGCTTGCTCACTGACAATGCCAGTAACATAAAAATAGCACCAGG